GCCCGACCACCGCATGCTCGCCTGATGCTCGTACGGTGGGTTTCTACCCGCTCAGGTTATGGGCTCGCGGACGGGTAAAGGAGGTAAGTGCGCCGTTTCTAGGAAATGGGACGTTCTCTGACGCGCTTGTGTTTTCCCTTTATCGATCTTCCCTCGCCTGGCTCCGCTGTCTTCTTCCCGAGGCTCGTGTTGGTGCTGCTGTGGCGGCGGCGGCACCCCGTCGTGGTGCTGAGGGGGGCTGAGCACTTCACTATTACGAGTGTCAGTATGTGCGTTGATTTGAGTTGAGGGATGTGTCCAGCAGATTACCAATCTGTTTCGGCTGTACGGGCGATTAACTGGTCGGTTGCTATCGGTTGTGGTGTCGTGACTCTTCCGTATGCCGTAGTTTGTGGAGCATCATCCTATTGTGCTTTTCATGTCGCGGTACGGTACGAGGATTAGTGATAACTTGCACAGTGGGCTTTGGCCGGAGGCTGGCGGCACAGCAACAGCAGCAGCAGCACTGTGTCGTACCGTCGAAATATACTGCGCGCTTGATTGCTAATGAGCCGGTAATAGACACATCACACGCTGACTGGTCCACACACACGCCCTCCCCGCTTGTTTCTCACTGTATGTCCGCATGAACGTGGTCGTGCAATCAACATGATGGTCCTGCTGCTGCTGCTGCTGCTGCTACTGCCGGAGTTGAGTACCTTCAAGAGCTGCGATTACTGGCGGGTGCCTGAGGGAAATTTCTTGCAAATCTGTATATGGAAAGGAGCAGAGGTGCCGTTAGGCCAGAGGTGAAGCCAGTGCGGCGGCGGTGGTCGTGGAACTGGTGGCGGTGGATGGCGCGATGGACATGGATAGGGTGTCTATATTTTAGATTCGGCCCCGGTGACCTATTTCCATGTGGGTTCGAGCCCCACCGTGATCGAGGCTACAGCCGAGCTCGCGGCTAAAGCTTCACCTTGTCAACACCTCTATTTTCTCGTTTTTATCCAATAGATATGTCTAGCAGAAGATAAGGAGAAACTGCAGTAGCAGCAAAGTGCGGTTGTCCAATACGCGCTGGATGAGAAGCGGCGCCAGTAAGCGCCACATCCAGGCCGCGTGCCGTTGGTGTGTAAGTATTTCAACAGTTCGTAGTGCCCGCGTGCGCTTTGGTCGTCAAGCCCTGCACCCGCGTCGGCTCCCTTGTTGTGTGCACTTCGGTATCTTACCGTTACATTGCCACCATTTATCTATGACGCGGCAATTGTCATTTTAGGAGACTTCGGACTGGAAAATTCACCGGCAAAATTGAAAATAAACACAGGAAGGCAGGATCTGCCAGGTAGCGGCTGCAGGGTGAAGATATGACCCCCCTGTCCCATACATCATACATACACTCTCTTGCACTTGGATGTGTCGGACCGTCTGTCTTGCAGCCACCCTGTGGACCACTATCAGGCTACCGCAGCTCGGTCGCCACCATGGAGGCAGCTGCTGATTACATATTGTCACTTGGTGTTGGGATGACAGCACAGTGATGGAGCTGATCATGAACTTGTTGGAGCAAGGGATGGATGGCAACAAGTGATAGGGAACGGAAATGTGGCGGGAAGGGGCTGACGGGCGAGGGTGAACGGGAG